TGAAAGGACTAGAGTAAAGGTAACATAAAGGTAACATTGGAAGCAAAAGCAGCCCCTCCTCAAGCTGGCCCTTCCTGGACCATCTTCTCCTTATCTTACTGGTCAGTATGCTTGGCAAAGAAAGTACTGTTTCACTTTCTCTTCTTGTAGAAGAGAGTAAGAGGCATAGCATCATTTTTTTCCCCCCCAAAGGTGTTGCGTGACTTGTTTCTTTGAAATAAATAGCCCTGGAAAATTTAGATATTTTGAAAATAGCTTCTCAGTCTCATGCTTAGAGTCTTTAAATTAGTGCTAAACAGCTTGACAAGCCTTGGCTCTTCTGGCAGGAATGATCATACTTGCTTCTTTATATTTTTAATTGCCAATCCTTCTTAAATAATTAGTAGGTGAAAACTAGTGGTTTCGTGGATCAGTTGCATGCTGCTTACTGTGTTTTGCTGATTTAAAGAAAGGAAAAAAGTGGCTTCATAATTGATGGGTTAATAGTTGCTGGTTTATATGCATCAGACATTATCATATTGTGACAATCAATTTTAAATATTTCTAAACCTAAATTTCTAGACATATTATCAAAAGTAATTAAATGTTCTAGTCCATTAAACTTCCTTTGGGGGTTAATTTAATACAGTTGTATTTTATTGTATATCTGGAACGGTTATTTTGAAAATAGTGTTCCTAGAGTGGAAGGTGGTCTGTAATGAATTCTACAAGTAGTACTATAAGAAGTACTGTTCACTGTTTTCTTTGGTATAGTCTTGATTTTTATTTCTATTTTTTTCTGTTACGTTACACTGCACTCAGCTATTGCAATCAACTACCAAAGAAATAAACTTTGATAGTGTAATGGGACAGAGAACTTAAAATATGTAAAAGATCTATGTATTAAATGTAGTCAAGGGAAGCTAGGTGTCTTGCCAAAGGTCATAGGAAGAATTGGTGATGAAGTGAGTATAACACATTTTGCTTTGTGTCCAATTCTCGTACTTGAATTACACAGTCACATTTCATGTCTATTTCCTGCCATTTTCCATGTACTCCAGATACTTGTTATGGAAATTAAGGCCATAAATACCACTTCTAGATGTTGGGCCTCTATGGTAGGAAAACACTCCAAAAAGTATTTTGTTGTTGAAGTGTTGGTGTTTGTATTTTAATAACACATTTCTCTTTAAAACTGGGGTTTTTTTGAGTAGTACTGCTATATTATTTGTGTATTTTTTCATTGATTTTGCTGTAAACATGAGATAATCTATTTGTTTAAAGCCTAGTTTAACAGTCTTAACTAATTAAAATTCGGTTTGCTATTTACAAGTAAACTCTATTTGAGTGTATTAGTTCCTCACCTTTTGATTTAGCTCAGTGTGGTTGATTTAGACATATTTTTTACTAAATAAAAGGTTAGGCTATGATAAATAGGAAAAATGTAGGATAGTCTCATTGCTTGAAATGAATGAGAGGATAAATAGGGGCATAAAACTTCCTAGAAATTCATATATCCAGGCAGTTTTTTTTCGTGCTGTATTTGGAAAAAAAAATGTGGACATGTGCAGAAACTGTGAGTACAATTAGCGTCAAGCAGATAAATCCAACTCTAATCCTGTTTACGCTCTACATCAGACAGATGTGCTGAGATTGATTTAGACAAGCCCTTGGCTTATAGTAATATTTTTTATAAGTGCCATATATTCTGGTTTTGTTAGATCTTTGTTAAATGTTAAGTGCTGTTAGTTTTACTCTTCTCTAACGCCTGTAACCTACTTTATACAGGTTCCCTCTCTGCTTTCAGGATGACAGGGCAGCCTGGTAGAAGAGATTATCTTTATTCCTTGTAATTAAATTGACTTTTTTTTTTTCCAGAAGATACAACAATGGGAAGTGGGTACTGAATTAAATAAATAGCATGATATCTAATAGATGTATACCTAAATCTCTTGCAAGAACAGATGGTACCCAATATCTTTCTAAGTAATGTGAGAGGACAGTTAATGTCCTGAAACTGCTAGCAATACCCAGTATGAGAGTAATGAACCAATAGGGTTTTTGAAGTTTAAAGTGCCTAATCCAATCCATACTTCATTTTGAAAGTAAACTTGGTTGTTATCACATACTAGAAATATTTTCTAAATATAGCTGATGATTTAGATTTTCTTTATCTGAATTGTTTTACAAAATTTTACTGCATTTGCAATGATCCTATTTTCAGGAAGCATAACAGGTGAAAATGATAGATTATGCCTAGAGATTTTATGCAGATTTCTTTGCAACTTCAGTAAAAATTGTCTGTCCTAATCCTACTAGCTAGTTCTATGTCTCCTCTACAAATTTAAAACTTGAGGATGATGGTTTTGTGCAACTCAGTATTTCTAGAGTTTATATGCCTCTCTGGGCTGTGTCTGGAAAAGTGTAAAACAACTGGAGTCAAATACTGGTTTTGAAAGTTTAGTGCTGCCTAGTAAGAACGTATTATTTTAATTTTCAGAAGTTTTGATATGCTCCTGCGGAACATAATAATTTTATAAATAGAGAGTAAGAGGAAGATGTAAAAGCAAATAAAAATCTGGCTGAAATAGTAACATGAAAAAAAAGTCAAGGCAAGGCAAACTTTATCTGGCTTATGACTGAATATCATTCTGTGAAAGCTAGTGGGGGAATAAAACATTTGTAACAGGCCTTTATTTTACTTGACTTGTGCAAGACAAATAGGCTGATGTTGTAATTTATCTGTGATGCATATGGATAACATTGGTACCATAGAATTTTTTATATTCTCAGCAAAGCTAATAGTTTAATCCAAAATGTCATTCATTTAAAAATATTTTAAAAACAAATCCATTTAGAATACTTGTATTAGTCTGGGTAAATAAATGCTGCAGGTCAGTTATTGCTGCAGAATGGTTGTGGCTATATTTCACATGTTTTTATTTACTCATTTTCATAAAACATTTAGTTTGCATGCTGGAATTTCAATGTTCTGTGTCTCTGACAGTGAGACTTCTCAAAATGGTGTTTTAAAAAGTAAAATAAGTCTTAAATAAAGGTATTAAACCATGTGGTCCTTGGTAAGGGTTTTATTTAAGGCGTACAAAGGCCCCTAAATGTTTTAGAAGAGCATTGCAAAGTTTGAAAATAAATGAAGATCTTGGATTTGGCAATGTTAGTACCAAGTTTGCTTGTACAATGCCTGCTTTGAGTCTATGCAAAATCATAGTTCAAATGGAATCATGAATATTTTCCCCCCTCAGTTCCCTATTTTCCTTCAATGTTTCCTATAGAAAATATTTTTACAGCTATCATTGCAGTATTTTAAACTTTGTGGGTTGGGTTTTTTTTTAATTGTTAGGTGAATTTCCTCCAGTTTATTTGCTGTGTACTTCTGAAAATCTGAACTATAGATGATTTCCTGTGTACTCTGTGCTCACGAACATTTCCTTGCCAAAGTATTCCTGCTAAGAATGGAATGAATTTGATCCAATTTTATGCCTTAGTAGCTGACTTATGGAGAAAGTAAGATGATAAAATATAATAAGTTGGGAAAAGTATGTGGGAAGTATAATAAGGTCATGCTTCCATCTGTAGCAGGTTATTTGCTGTGGCACAGGAAAAATGAGTTAGCACAGAATGGTGGGGAGAGGTAATACTGACTTGAGCTTTAGCTGTGTCATCATGGCTGAGGTGCAGTCCTCTAGGATTTGTGGATAGGAGGACAGTCATTGCAAAGCCTTGTTCAAGAAATGATGTTGAGAAATGCCAACATCAAGCTGTTAAAAGCATTGACACAGTCTTTCTTTTAATCTACCCAGAAAAAGTACGACTTTCAGAAAACCTCACTTCGTGTGGTATAATGAAGTAGGTGATACTTGATTTTGCAGTCTCATCTGCAGTGCTGTCCATCTTTCCCAGGGAGACAGTTAAAATGGACTTTTCCTGGCACTTCAATACAGCATGCAGCAACTATTCATCAAACAGAAACTGTTACGGCTTTTCCTATTGAGAAGCTAGTTGACAGAGCTTTGCTACATTTGGTCAAGGTTTCTGGTTTCTAGCATTTCTTGCCTTGGGCTGCAAAGGGACCTTTACTGGTCTAGTGTATCAGATCTGCTGTAATTACAAAGAAGGCAGGGAAGCTTTTCTTTCTGTGTCCAGAGTATCTGACACCTACAGGAACAGTGACGATTTTCCTTCAGTTTGCATATTTGATTTTGGTTTTGGTGAATCAGGTGTTTTGCAGTTGAAGAGAGCAGAAAAAGTAGAAACCTGTACTATAGTGGTTCAGTCGATATATGTCCAAGAGGCATTTGGAAGTGAAGTGATAGTGTCTGCAGCCCCAGCACTCATGTGTATAACAGCCCCAATTTAAGAAAACCTCCGTTTAGCCTGACCTAAATCTCTCCTGAGTGAGGATCTTAAAGTGTCACTTTTTGGAAACTGTTTTTCTTGTCTTCTAAACTAAATTCATAACTCCAAAATAAAAGCTAAAATGGGTATCAGCCTTTTGATCTTATTTGTCTGCTTTTGCTTAACTATTTTCTGGTATGTTTCTAGTGTAAACCCAAAAGGCAGTAGTTGCATCAAGTGAAAAAATACAGTGAGTATCTAGTCAGCTTGGGTCATAGCACACTTTCTGATCTATGATTTAGAAGGATACAACTGCTATGATTTAGGAAAATGCAATAAAGAATTTGCTTTTTGAATGCAAACACAAAAATTAATAGCTCACTCTTCTTAAGAGTCTGCAATTTTATTAATTTTTTGTACATCAGAAAACTGATTAAATAACCTATTTGAAATTGTGTTGTTTGTACAGCTGAAAACATAACAGAAAACTGATAAAATATAAGACCAGTGAGTGACTGAGGCAAATGATATGCAATAAGTTTCAATACACGCATGAACAGATGCAACAAGTGAAGTTAGAGATGAAACTGTAATGATTTTTTTCTTTTTTTAGATGTTACTCTTAATCATATTCCTAATGCCTTTTTTCTCTCCCCCCCTTACAGGTGATTCCAGTCTGGCTTTACAGGCTCAAGAGGAGATTGTTGAAATGAAAGATGTATTTTCAGTAAGATTGAAACGTCGGCGTTTTGCAGGGCAGAAAAAAGGTGGCACTGTGTTGGGTATCACGATTTTTAAATGCTTGAATAAAGAAGAGAATAAACTAACAGACTGTGCTATCCATTTAAATAACTTAAGCGAAGATCATTGTCAGTCCTGGTTTAGACATCTGAAGGAAATTCTGAATGGTGAGCATTTAATTGGGGTTGATGTCATATTTATTTCTATTGGCAATACATAAGGTTGAATGAAGCTTAAAACTGTTTTTCATGGAAATTAAGACACACATATGAATGTTATTTCTGGCAAATGTTTACTACTGAGGTTTTACATGGTAAAGGGTAACATTTAAGAAAGTGACAATAATTGACTAATGTATCTGTAAAAATGAAACAAATTGATGCTATTTTTTTGAAGTATTTTGGGAGCCAATGAAAATAAGTAGTGTACTTTATTCTGACTGAAGTGTCTTCTGGTAAATCTGTTTCTGAAAGAAATAAAATATTTTGTTGATATTTTCGCTTGAAATTGCAGCACACCTGATGGTACTACAGTAGTTGCAGTCCTGGGAACTCTTCAGGAAATTTCTGGTGACTGTTTAGGATCTCCCATTTGAGATGCGCAGATTCTTTAAGAGACTAATGGGAGAGACTTTCCTCATCTTCATAAATTCCCATGTAGCAGTGCTCTTGAGGTTCTGCAGGACTCTTGTATAATTTGATGCAAAATGTATTGATACTAGCTAGTGATGAGAGGCAATTCTCTACTTTAAAAGTATCTTTCTGTGTTTGCCTAGGCTAATGCCAGTTGCAGGATGCTTTGCTTAGCCCATTATAGTCTCATTGTTTTATGGAAGCTGCATCAAATTCAAGAAAAAAGTATTCACCATTAAGGGGGAAAACCCCACAAGAAATCAAGCCTTTCACTGTAGTTTATTATCGTCAATACTGGAAAGACACAGAATACAGCACACTTTTGATTTAAAAAGCCAAAACAATGCTCCCTCCTCCATCTTCCCCATACCAAACTCCGATTTAGCTCAAAAATGTGCCTCTGTTTACAGATTATAGCAAATAAAGAAAAACAGTCCATCTTGTAATACACTATTAAAACTCCAGCTGAATTGTTAATACTGAGCCAGATGACAGAATTCAAATGTTATACATCTGTAGTGTTTGTAACAATACTTTCAATAATGATTTACAGAGTACTTCTAGTAAAGTGACTTTGCCAAAAGCACATATTAGAGAAACAGTGTGAATTATTGATGGTGCATTCTTACATTGTGCACAGTATGCTTTGGAATGAATATGTGAATTAAAAAGTGGTTCCCTTTTCCCGTTTTGAAAGGTTTTATCATGAAATATCTGAATCTGCATAAGTGCCAAGATTCCTGCAGATCTCCAGCTACCCATAAAGGCAAGGACATTTGCAAAAGGAGCAAATGTCTGTTTTGTTCCCAGATTACCCTCCATCTATCAGGAGCAGTGACACCATATGTTCACAGAAAAAAAGCTGCAGTATCTCTTGCTCAGGTTGCCTTGACCTCAAGGTGCAGTCTCTGTTTTATAGCTTTGAAATGGAAGCAACCTGGTCCTGAAATAAGTATTCTGTGCAATGTTGGTGTTCTTCCTTCGGCTTCAGTTTTTCTCCAGAAGTTCAAACTTTGTGCAGATTTTTTTTTTTTTAGACCTCTGATCAGTACGTTTTTTCTCTTTGCCTTCTACTTCAGGAATAATGAGGAGTCAGAGGGGAAAAAGTAACCAAACAAGCCCCCATGAATATAATTTGCTAATGTGCACATTGTTCTAAGTTTTGTAATTACAATCAAAGAAATTTTGACCCCGTTACATTTTGAAGTCTGGGTAGATAGTCAAACTGCCACGAAAAAAACAGCAATATTTATGCATTCAGTGTGGCAGAGACACATTATCAGCAATTTAAACAGTGATGGTACAGTAATGGTATAATGTAGAAAGAAAAGTCTTCTGATTTAAAGTGTACCAAACATCAGTAGGAAGTTCCCAGTGGGATTCAGGTCTAGACTGAAAGTATGCAATGCAGTTGAGTTCTGTTGAATACTCAGTAACTGAAATCTCAAAAGGCATATTGATATATCTCTATGTGAAACAGGGGTGATTTTTCACATTTTTTTCTGCAGCTTTTTTCACAGTAGTGCTGGACACAACTTTGTTAATGAACTCAAATTGGCTCCTTTTGGTTTAATCCTTCTAGAACAGTTGGAATTTCAGTGTAGTCTCCCCTGCCCCCCAGTCTATCTGATCACAAAGTAATTTTTCATTAACTGCTGCATTATTTACTTGAAGGGTTTTTTTCATTGATTCTGGGCTGGAGCAAATAAAGAGCAGGTGATTTACCAAAGTAGCACGTATATATGTTCGGGCTTGGCTGTCAGTAACGTGTACTTTCATTTGTCAGAATGCCTAAATATTACTAACAGGTGTGTTTTCTCTGAAGGTAAATGCAGTTTCTATTTGTTCACCTTACTCTGACAAGTTTTTAGATTTTTATGCATATACACTATTTTAGGAACAACAACAGCAAGTTTATTAATGATTATACGAGCTAGAGTTTTATCTGGAGGTTTGTTCTAATGAAGGTTTCACTTATTTATTTTTTTTCTGAAATTCCATGTACACAGTTTCCCATTATGGTGTAATTGTGTCTGGCATCATGGTTTGCCCCTACTCATTCTAACTCTCTTCATAACAAGTGTCCTGTTGTTTTGACTTTGTGTTTAGAGTAGTTCAATTGAAAGTTTAACTAGGCTATAATTTTTTATGAAGCCTGTCATCATATGAATGAGCACACACAGGGATATAATATAGCTGTTTAGAATTTACAGTGGCTGCTAGTACTTTTTTGTGCATGTGTATATGACAGCGTAGCAAAACCTATGTACAACCATCTTTTAAATATGTTATTATTTTCTGCCCAATGTTGCTGCTGTTCAAATGCATTTCAGCTAGATGTGAAGAGCTTGCTCAATGATATGGTGTTCCAGGAAACTGATCATCTGTGCATGTCATATTTGTTCAACTGATGTAAGACAAGCACTACTCTGTAATATATGTGCCTATGGAACTTGGTTCTAGACTGGGGCAGCCCAGGCAGATTCTAGTTTGCTGTTATCTTGTGTCACTCCTGTTGTGCACGTGTCTCTCAGTAATTTGCATTTATACATCACATCTTTTTGTACAGGACTTATGGGCATGTACAGAGGGGGCATACTGTGTCAGTAGAATTCACTGTTTAATTTAAAATCCTCTGTGCATGCAAATGCCTAGTGTTTCTTAAAGGGTTAAGACACACTCAGAAATAAGGGAAAATGCCTAATTGTCAATATGCATCCAATTAAAAAAATTTCTAAGAAGATAAGTGTTATTTTTAGTAGCAGTGGATTTGAAAAAGTTTTACTTAATAACTCTAAACAAGCAGAATATGGTAAATGTGTTAAGAATAAATTATAAAATAGCAAAAAAAAATGCATAAGGTGCATTTTATTTTTTATCTGCTATTCTGTAGTATCTCTCACATTGGGATTTGATATGAATGCCTGAAACTTCATGCATGAAGTTTTAATTAAACCATTAATGTTAAACATTAACTTTGGTTAGTTAATATTAACAGTGGTGTCTCCGTAGTTACATTAACAAATCCGTCGCATATTATTAGTTTTTCTTGTGTATAATATTCTTAATGTTGTAGAAAGTATTTATAAATGTATGTGGTAATGACATGATTCCAGGCTCTTAACTTTTGTAACATAAACCCATTTTCATAAAGCTGAGGACTGAGAGCAGCACAGATGTGTGTCTGCGCACAGCGTCTCTGCTGCCCTGTGAGCCTTTGTTTCCAGAACACCCTGATTGACCCACCACCCTTCATGGTTCACTGATTCACTTGATAGATCAAGTTTAAACTAGTGCATATTAGCACATTTGTTAGTACTAGAGGAACAGTTGGCCTTCCTGCTTTAGGCTGCTGGTTCATTTCAAATGGAGCAGCCCCAGAAAACAATAGCAGAATACCAGTTAGGAGAACACCAAAAGGCTGACAGACTGGAATCAGTTGCACACTGTAGTCAATGACGTTGATTCATTACAGATGTTATTTACAGACAATTAAAACATTATTATTGTAAAATACTTTTAAAGAAGTTCCTCAATAATATTGTGTGAAAGTTTCATCTTTGTCTGTTATTGGATATTCTTTCATTAAACGTGATTGTTTGGTGTGTTATAACATGTCCAGTGCATGTTGGGAATGATAAATAATTTTTGTCATGATCATCCTTGCATGTCAGTTGGCAATTATTTGGCACAAACAAAACCACATCACTAAACTACCATCTCTGCTAAAAACTCCATTGTCTGTACCTTTGATACCTATGTATGTAAAGAAAATATTTTATCTCTCTAAAAAAGTAAATTGATATCCAAGTAGTCATAAAGACAATATTCTAATACTTTCAGCCTGTGAATTCATTTGGTTCTTGAAAATCTCTCTAGGATTTATGTATCAACTCTGATCTACTTTTCAGCAATAGCCGGATGTATATAATCATAAGTACAGTTTCTGGTTTAGAATCATTTAATGAGTGATTTTTTTTAAAATTTTTTTTAAAACTTCAACTGTTTCCTTAGAAATGTAGGATTTTTTTTCTCCACCAATTGAAAAGTCTATATTATTTTGCCAACTTATGCTTTCTTTTAAAACTTTGTATTGCCACCTAGGACTTAAATTTTTACACTTAAAACTCAAAAACTTTAAAGTAAGATAGCAATGTTTGCATTTTTTCTTTTAGTTTTCTCCTCATAGCTGTTCAGCAGTACTGTAACTTGCACTGTCTGGGCAAGAGAATTTATGACAATTCATCACCTTTCTCTACTTCTACAGTCTGTATTTTCCTATTCTTTCCCTCTGCTTTGTGTGTGATATTCTTATACACTTTAAAAAAATAAAAAAAGAATGAAAGGTATACTCTACTTAGAAATCAAGTTTTTACAGTTCTCTGAGTGTTGGTGGAGGTTGAGCATTTAGGACCAGCTGGTCACAGGTAGAAGTTCCTGTAAAAAAGATAAGAAACATGACAGCACATTTATGAATGTGGCTACATCTTTTCTCTTTTAAATCAGGACTCCTTATTCTTGTAGTTTTCAATTTAATTTCTGCTGATGCTTTAGGCAATTTATCAAGTCACAGAAATTATCTTTTGGGTCTTAATATTTTTATAACTTCTAAAAGAATGCAACAATACAGGATAGCAGATTGCAATTGATGTTACTATAATGTCTTTATGATGATGATTTATATGTAGTAATAGGCTTTGGGAACTTTTGTGTAGTCTTCCTTGTTCTTGTTATAATTCCTGTGATTAGAAATTGCACTGCAGTACATAGCTGCAGTGCCTGTTTCTGTCTCCAGAGAATCCACAATAATTTAGGTTGGAATGGACCTCTGGAGATTTTCTGTTCCAGCTTCCTACTGAGGGCAGGTGAGCTTCTAAAACAGGTCATGCAAAGAGCCATGTCCAGATAAGTTCTGAAAATATTAAAGATGAACAATGTCATCCATGCCTTAACTGCCCACCTTGTCTTTATCTTTATCTCACATTGGAATATTCCTTGTACAACTTGTGTCTACTGCCTTTTTGCCCTTACACCTGCAAGAGTGGTGGTCTTTTTTACTCCCACAGTAGATACTTAAGGAAAGCATTTAGGTAGATTCTGTTCTTAAGCCTGTCCAAGCCAGCTGCCATTGCCTCTGGTTTGTGGCCTGTTCCAGCCCCTTGTTGTGGTCACAGTTCTCTGTTGGACTCACTCCACTTCATCAGTCTTGTGCTGGAGGGGCTGAAAGTGGATGCAGTTTTTGAGCTTCAGGCTCAAAAGATGTTGAATACAAGGGCATAGTGATGTCCTTTGGGCTGCTGGTTGTCCTCTTGATACTGCAACCCAGTAAGCACTTGGCCTCCATAGCATCAATGGCAAACTGTTTGCTCATGTTCAACTCCTTGTCCATCAGGAGTTGTGGATGCTCTCTGAAGAGGTACTGCATGCTTGATCAGTCCCCAACCTGTACTCTGAGGGTTTTGCTGGGCCAGGTGCTGCAATTCATGTTTTTCTTTATTGAACATCTTCAGGCTTTTGTCAAACCTCTCTTCTAGCTAATCAAGGTCCTTGTGAACAGCAGCCCTGCCCTCCAGCACGTCCACAATCCTCACCAAGTTCCCCAATTGATTGTTTCTCCTTTTTGAAGGAGTTACTTTTAAACATAGGTATTAAGACTTGTTACAGAAGACATGCAGCATTCATCAGGCATTAAGGATTCTTCAGGCTGAATTTGCTGTGCAATGACTTGGGACTGTGTGTAACATTTTGACATAAATATACTTCTGAATTTTGTTTTGTGTATGCTTTTGGGTTATAGCAGCAAACTGGTTCAGTAATTTACCCCTCAGAATCTTTAAGAAATCTTCTAGATTCACAAAACTGGATAAAGTGCTATTTTTCATTTCCAGATTTGATGTGTTTAAATAAGTGAAAAATAATCTGTGGGACTTGTATAGTTATTATGCTTTGATCTCAAGGAATACTTTGTCCTTTAATGCTGAAGGAGTATTTAGCTATAATTTCTTTGAGGAATTGCTTCTGTTCAATTATTGGGGTAGAGTAAGTGGCAAGAGCTTCAGGAAGTCCCGGATGGCACTCTGAAGGTCTGTGTGGTTGTAAAAATTGAAGTAATGCTCTTCATGGGCCTGGAAAATGTGCTTTCACTCCTGGCTCCTTTTGGAATTGTGGCCTACTACTAATTTTGTTCTTGAATGTGGAAAGCAGTACACTTGCCAGATATTCTAGCTTTCATTTGGCTAAGGAAATGATAGTCTAAACTGATACTAAACCAAAATTTAGAGTTGTTAAAATCCTCTATTTTATATAGCTACCAAAGAACAGCAGTATTGCATGCTACTGCTTGCTTTTTGTAGCAAAGCAGCTTCACTGTATCATGGCAATTGTAGGAATTCTAGGAAAGAGAACCTGAAAAGTGAAGTTATTTGTTTATTATGAGTTATTTATTATTCAATAAAATTCCATATTTAAAATGATAAAATTACTTCATGGGATCAATGTGCAAGACAAAGTACAGCTTGCATAGCAGTATTTCTCAGAGTTGTTTCCCCACAGTTCGTTACTTCAAAGACCTAGACGTAACTTTTTTAAAAATAAAATGAACACTAATTATCACATTTCTGAGTGATATTGCAAAGTTTTCTATTTCTTTGTATTTCTTTAGGCCTCCTTCAAGCTGAGGGAATTTTTTTGTGCTATTTGATTCGCTCTCTCAGAAAACAAAAGTATTAGATTGTGGTGTCAGTTTTGTTAGGTGTTATTTTTCTATGCCTGCTGGGAGTGTGTCATATTAAATTCCAACGCAGACATGTTTTGATGTCTGGGTTTCTTTCCTTTTTTGTTGCCCAAACTTACAACTTCTTCACATTCACCCTACTCCTTTATCAGTGTTTAACTAGGTTATGGCATATCCCTTTTTTTTTTCTAGTTCCTACAACTGTTTATTATGTGTTTATTACAACTGTTTATTGTGTGGTTTTGTACACACAAAAGTAATCAGTATGGTAATATAAAGATAAATAGTGCACATCTGAGAAGGTATTGAAACTTTTTTAGGCTATAATTTACTTATCCTGCTCATGTATTGTGATGGTTCTGATACTGAAATTTGTTTAAGCTGTAAAAATAACTTGGCTGTGTGTAATCTTAAATGTTTCATGTTTTCTTTTTAGGCTTTCAAAATAGACCAAAATCCTTAAAAGTGTTTGTTAATCCGAGCAGCCACAAAAGAGAAGCCACTCATGTTTATTTTGAACAAGTTGCACCTCTTTTTAAGCTTGCTGACATAAAAACTGATGTCACAGGTAAGTTGCTTCAAAAGCATAGTTTAATCCTTTGTGAAACTAGTACTTAAGCATGCAAGGCAATTTGAATTCACTGCTAATCCTTATTAGCTTTGCCTGCAAGTGCATTTGGAACCCTAGTTATGCAATATAATATATTTTTATTTGGTAAAGAAAAAGCCTTAGTAATTTCATTATTAATTGAACATTTTTCACCTATTACAATGAATACTAGAAAGATGTTGTTGATGTTGTTTAAAGCAAGCATTCTATAAAAAGAAACAAGCATTTAATGTCTGACAGTCTTTTATACTTGCTAAGAGTTGTTCCTGCATTCTGATGAGCACTTGTCCTTAACTATTACTTCTCTTCTAAGAACATCTATTGGCCTGACATCATAAGAGGGGCTAATCTGAAGGGCACAGCATTTCTGGATTCTGACTCAGTTTCAGGGATGACTTGGGGGCCTAAGTGATGAAGTTCTGAGATGACAAGGGCAGTTCTCATGAGGCACATGGGCTTGACTTGCTGTCTGGGGAATGCAAAGGTACAACCATCATGTTGTAGTGATGGTGCTTTCTGCTCAACAATGGGTTCCCAATAACAGGTTTGGATTTAAAGCCCCAATTAGTGCCAGAGTTCTGCTTTATGTAGTGAATTTGCCCTTTGGCTGTGTCATTTGATTGAGTTTGCATAAGAAATTGAACAGGGAAATAATGAATTTTCTTAAACCAGTAAAATATTCTTGATCTGATCATTACTTCTGCCCCCATCTATGAACAGACTGAAACTTTTATCCTGCATCAAATTTGGTCCCAAAAACCCCCACCTAAATTTACAGAGAAATGACATATACTAGTATTTCCCATTCATAATAATTTTAAAACCACAGTATTACAATTCCCTTTAATACAGAGCTATTTTTTTGATCATGCATTTCATGTCAATGTGATATATAAACTCTGGTACAAGACATTTAAGCACTAGAAAGTCTTTTTCCTATGTCTGTTTTATTTGACTTGAAGATCAATCAGTTCCAGCTTAAAGAAATTATAAGACAGAGGGCCCAGTCTGCCATTGTTCCTTAAAATTCTTATGAACTAATGACTAGTTCAGGTTCCAGACCAAAAATTATTATAAGAAAATCTGATTTAAGTGTGAGGATATAATAATGCAAAAAGTGTTTGCATATGAGATCTATCTTGCTAATTTTATTACCTTATCCATGTTTTTGTAAAAAAAATCATTTAGCCCACAATTTAAAGTAAAATCTATTGAAGATTAAAGACACATCAGAAAGAATGTGAAAAGATTGTTAGAATTCTGTAGTGATCATTTCCTCCCTTAATTGAGAAGGGAATGCCAGTGGCTTTATGTAAGTTTTGATTCTCACAGACACATTTTTCACCTGCAAGGCATGGATGATAGTGTGAAGAGATTAATAACAATAATGCTGTCATCCTAGAAATTGAATTTAACCTTGTTTGATCAATTGTTTTAAAAAAAGTTTAATATATGTTTTGAATATAATTTGTAGGGTGTTTAAAAACATTTTTCCTTATTGAATAAAAACAGTTGAAATTTTATTTTTTAAAAGTTATTTCTCTTTTAAATTTTAAAAAGAAACTTCTAGGTTTAGTCAGAAAAATGTTTAATGGCTTATCCTTAAAAGAAGGTTATATTGGCAATGTTCAAATACTATCGTGTTTATTAGCTGCCTAACACTCCTCCTACAGGCAAAATGAGAAAACTACATTGTTATTTTCAATGCTAGTAAAGAAATAAAATAATTAAGAACTATGCATTGAAACATAAAAAAGAGGGTGGTGGTGGATACTGAGTGAAAGTTTTGTCCACTGGTACCATCTTCTAATAAAACTAAGTGCTTCATCTCAAGAAAACTGAACATTTTTTTTTTCTTTCCCATAATTGTTTTGGATTTTGTGGAGTGTGTATCTCACTGTTGCTGCTGTTTTGAAACATGGCCAATATTTCTATAACTAGTGGTGCACAAAGGTGTGTTAGGTACTGACTTTGTGAAAGCTTTTGCACAATTTTGACACTGAAGATAATTTACATTTAGACTTTCCACATCCACGCATTTAAAGCTTAAAATTCATTGTACACAAAAATCTGAAAGCAAATTTGAACCTCTGAAGTGGCTTCCAGCACACACATGATACAAGACTTGCAGGTTACTAAAAAAACCCTCAAATCATGAATGGTCGACAGTGGAGTGTTGAAAGACAGAGCTCTGCTCATCCACTATTGTACATTGGTGGCTGGCTGTTAGTTTCTCTGGAATCAGGCTTGCCTTATTCTTTATTGTAACCTCTCCTGGAATACACTTTTTAGGTCTTCAGAAGCTTAGAGTGGAAGTGTTCTCTCTTAGTCAAGGACATATAGCAATCAAAAAGCATGCAGGCAAATAAGTGAATTCTGAAGTAGAATTTACTTTTTCCAATTATTTTAAAATTTGGTAGGGATTTCCTTTTTTCCCCCCCCCCCAAATTACTTTGTGCTGTATTGATTTCAATAAAATTAACCAAAGTTCTTATAGAGTAGATTATGCTTTGTTGGGTTTTGGAGTTATTTTTGTTACATGCAATAAACAAATCTTTGAAATGCTTAGTGCACTAGAAAGTGGGGATTAGCAGATTTAAACTGAAACAGTACTTTAGCTATGGCTAAACAATAGTTAAAATCTGGTCTTTATAGATTATTTTAAGAATTTGGCAATTTTTAGTGCTGCAGCTGGGATATGGCTGCTAGGGTAGGAACAGGGGCTCTTCCAAAAACTGAGTTGGACAGAAGCTTGCTCACTACAGGCAAATAGTGATAATTGGAGCTAGTGTTTTAGCAGTGCATTAGTATCTTGCAAAATCTTATACATACAAAGAAAAAAATGAGCAAAGGAAACCCTGGCAGAATCTTAGCTTGTCTCACTTGTCTTTCTAGTTTTGAGTCTTATGCTTCCATTTATGCACAATTCCAAGCTGGATACTTAGGGAAAAATAACAGCCTTCTCAAGCCCCCATTTTTAGGGCAGAATCACTAAGAGAAAGAGAGTATTCGAGAATTGGACAAATAAGATTGGTTTAAACTTATTATATAGTAAATAACATTTTTTTCCATTTAGTGTCAACACTAGTTAATCTGTTGTTATCATTAGCAGCACTAATCCTATTGACTTTAGTCTGTGACATGAGTGCCAGTATTTTTAGATATCATATGGAAGCATCCCATGTTTTGAGTGTTGAACTAATTGTATATTGTTTTTTCTATATGGAGGGGCAGAAACCTAGTTCTTGTTGACAACATGTGTTACAATGGTTTTGTGTTGGTTCAACTGAGGTACACTGTTGGTGTCCTCCATTCAGAATGCTGTTATTTGAAGCTTAAGATCAAAATGTCCTTGACAAAGAAAAACTTTCCCAATTATACATTAGAAATGGTTGAAAAATCATTAAATAATATTTTTGTGATAATAGTTTTGCCAAATATGCAATGTGTATCCTTCTCAAATGATGAAAGAAGCTTTTTTCCTCTTACAATTTTTTTTTGTTGTTGCTGTTTGGTTGGGGTTTTTTACCCCTGAATCAGAACAGGGCCAAATATTCAAGTGCTTAGCTTTTTTCCCAGCTATCAGAAAGAATTATATATGCCTCTCTAAAGGCTGTCAAGCCTGTAAGAAACATTTTAGACAGAGTATTTCTATGTCTGGACTTTTTCTTTATTTTTTTCTACTTGAATGATTTTTCTATATGTTCTCACAGAACTTTTCCTGGAAGCCTCATTTTTTCACTGCCTTTCTGTCATGATGTTTCAAAATAGATGCTGTGTACCTCTGTAATCAAATTTTAAATTTCTTGGAATTCTCCAATCTTAAGCTTTGCAGTAGTCCTTCTACATAACTTCCAAACTTTAAGCAAAGAGGATGGAGTTGCCATCAATCTGGCTAACACTAGTCATTTTTACTGCCTTTATTGATTTCTCTGTAGGCATGAGCCCTCTTTATTTACATGTCCCTGTTCTTTGAGTGAATTAATTTTGTAATAGTAAGCATAACTTACATGACATTAGGAAACCACTGAGCATGTTTTCTGGTACAAAATAAATCTTATTTACTGTTCCATTTTAATTAGACTGTACTCATAACTTTCTAAATGTCATCATGTTCATTTAAAAAGGCATGTAACCTGGTAACCAACTGTATGTTTTCATGGGAAGAGTTTCTTTCACAGCTAAGCCACAGTAAGGTATTTGAACCTTACAGCATTTTTGCATGATGCACAGTTTTATTGGTCACTTTTTACACAGTCTACAGATATGGATAAAATCATAGTTCCCCTTGGTAAACATGAAACTGAGTATGGTAGCTTAAATGCTGTGCCTTGATCTTGCAGAGAGGCCCTGCATGAAAGTAAATTTTGTAAATAATTCCCAAAAGTTATTATAGTGGTAGGTATTTCTGTAGAAAAATAATAATTCTCTGCCTTTGATATAGTCAAAATAACTCTAATTTTTAATAAAGAATTTTCAAAACACCAAAGCACCAGAACTTTGCTAGCACTGACTGGAGGATTTTGAAGCTATATGCAATCTATATATACAATTGTTTACTGTGAAGTGTGGAAAATTTTATCACTTCTGGTTTGATTTTGTTTTCCTTTTTATTTTTTAGGAAAAAAGATATATGCACTCACTATATATACATGCATACTTGTGTGTTCGTGTGTGTGTGTGTGTGTGTGTGTGTGTGTAGGGAGAGAGAGGTGTTTTCAGTTCTTGTAAGCATCATTTGAATAATCTGTAGAAATACTGTTAGAACAGGTACAGATACGGAATGATTGTTTTAGACACCAAGACTAATAATTTTAACTGTGTTTAGAAACACTGGAGAAAAGCCTTGAACTATGCAAGCACCAGGGACAGACAAGCATGAAAGATTAATGTAATTTTGCATATAATGATGCACATTCTTACACAAAAAATCCATCTGCAAGTGTCATGTCAGTCAGCAAAAATCTTTGATGGGTGGCTGCAGCTGGGCTGTCTCTTCTGGCAAAGCTGCCCTAGAAAATGCTAAATGTAGTTATGATGCTTTGTGCCATCTGTAGTATGCCAGTTTATCCTGTCTTCACTGGCATTTACAGTACTATACAGGGTATCAGCAAACACAGAGACATCAATGTAGAGTGACAGATTCATTTCCTCCAGAGGCTATGAACTCTGGTGTATACTTGTGCCACCTTCCTCTGTGTGCTATATTCTATTGTCACCTGGTATTTGGCTTGATTTCATACTTCTGTGTTTAACTTCTCATATTTTTGATTTAGCAATTTGCATATCCTCACACAAAGGCAATTAAATTTGATTAATCCTGAAATAATTCAGTCTTAACTGAGGATACACTTATTTTCCTGAAGTTTACCAACTATATTAAAGCTAAAACTTGTGGTTTTATGCTACAAATATCTCAAATTCTCTGAAATTAAATGCTCTAAATAGCCATGTGTCTGATAGCAGATGAGTTTTAACGTCTTGCCAGTTAGCTAGAGCAGCTGTAAAATATAACTTCTCATACCTTTAATTCATTAATGATTTAAAAAAATAATCTGAATGACTGTGTTCCTTATGTTGGAAGGGCAAAATAATTAAAACCTCTTTAAAATTACCTAATCTGCTGATAATTAATATTTTCCACAGTAACTGAATATGAAGGACATGCTTTCTCAGTACTTAAAGAATGTGAACTCCAGGCATTTGATGGGTAAGTTGGTTAGTGACTGTGAATGTTAACAAACCTCATCAAGTTAGTTTTTATTTTTATTCCATCAAAACTGTGCTAGTAGATATTTCATGAGTTACTCTGTTTCTCATATATATTAAACCTGGGTAAATCAGTTCTCCTTAAATGCTGTTTTTTGTTAATTACTAGCAATAAATATGTATTTTGGATTCATAAATAATGGCAAATAAACATAAAGCTTTCTGAAATGAAAGTTTCAGTCTCTGTACTTGCAGACTATGAAGACAGAGAAGAAAACCCTGGATTTTACCTTGTACAAGCATCTTCTATACTAAGTCATATCTGAGTTGTTTCATCTTTGATCCTTGGGTAGAGTCACTGGAGTGCTTTGCCTGTAAGACTTCTCTCCAGTAGCCATATCTAAGGGCACACAGGAGCACAAGAAGCTGGAAGAATATGACTCTTAAGTCAATATCATGCTAGGATTTCTCAAGTGAACAGATCCCTGCCCTTTCTAGACCAGCACTTCTGTACCTCCTTGCAGGCACTGTGTGGGGTGGCAAGAGGTAAGTTAGTTTTTGTGCTGTTTCTGCAGGCAGACCTTACATGTCTCACCCAAGCTCACAAGCAACTGGAGGTGAGTTAGGTGTGGACTGAAGGCCATGCCTGCATGCATTAATTGCTGCTCTAACTCAGCTCTTGCTTTTCAAGTGGGGCCTATTTCAGATTGACAGAAAGCTAATTCAAGTAAAAATGCAGAGAGAGCAAGAAAACTGTTTGGGGTTTTTTTATTAATTACAGTAGGTAAGCAGTATAGTGGCATGCAATTTCTGAGCTTGATTTTTATCTCTAAGACAGTTATGGTTCCTTACATGTTAAACCAGCACGTGAAGTAAATTGAAGCATAAACGCTCGGAATGTATTTATTACTATTTTTATCATTAAAATGTGTTTACCTCAAAAGCATGTAACTTTAAAACGTTACTAATTTGGAGAATCACTTTAATAGTTACTTAAATAAACAAAACCAAGATGGTTTGCTGTAACAGAGCTTTTACAGACAAATGCATTCCTCTCTATAGCCACAGCAGGTGGGAGTTTAATTATGTGTGCCAGAAGCTGTGATTAAGTACCTTTGTGCAAAGGATTGCTGGCACTAGGGTTTTATACTTTGCTAAATCCCTCAACTGCCTGCATAGTGTGTGAAAATAGCTCTTTTCAAGTTTTTTTTCTTATTTTATTGTAATATTTGGTAAATTGTTATTATAAGGGCAATTAAAAAGCATTGGAATAGTTGTGAGGGTCAGCACTGAAAGACGTAAAGAGCTTTTCCACTGAGGCACTTAAGCATGTGTTTGATTCTTCCATCCAATCAGTTTATGTGCTTTAGGTAAGAAAAACTTTGTCAGTTATTAAATATATTTACTCCTACTCAGAAGAAAGCAGAAATAAGGATGCTTCTATCTCATGACAAAACGTTCACTGATCTGACTCTGAAGCCTGAGCTTGATCTTAAAGAAAGAATGTTATTTGAAATATAATTATGTGTGTGGTAACTGCCTTCTACTTGTTTGCTCAGCTATGGAAGAGTTTATTTTTAACTGTTTAGCATTTTTGTTTTGCAATAGGGTAGTCTGTGTCGGTGGAGATGGATCTGTCAGTGAAGTTGCTCATGGTCTACTATTTAGAGCCCAGATAGATGCTGGAAAAGACCCAGACTATATATCAAAGCCTGTCAGAGCACCGATTCCTCTTGGAGTAATACCAGCAGGTGAGAATAAAATATACTGTTACATTTTGTGAGTCACCTGTTTTAAGTCCCTCTGGAGTGTTTTACTGTTTTGGCTACTAAAGGCAATATTTGATGTTTAAGCTTTGCTTACTTAAGGGAGCTATTGAATAAATGTCCTAAATTAGTGATTTAGATTGATTGCAAATGTAATGATAATTTATAGTAATGGAACAGATGAGCTCTTTGCCTGAAGGAAGAGGTTGAGGAAGAATAAAACTGAAACAATTTTCATCTGATCCATGTAAAGATCAAGTTTTGCCCTCATTTCCTGGTAGAAATGATACCAAATGAAAACGTTCTTGCATTTCTCCAGATTTTTTTGGCAGGATTTGCTGTTGGATTCATGCTTAGGGTCTATTTTAAAATGGTGTCCCAGAAATTTTGTGGATTACATATAAAAAAAATATTTTGCACACAAATCTTTTACAGACCTGAAAATATATCTCTTGCTTGAAAAATCCTCATGCTCCTTTATTAACTTGTACTTGCATCTTGTGATGTGCTTTTGTTTGTTGGTTTGGTTTTGACAGGGGGTGAGGTGTCCCTTTGTGTTTGCCCTTCTTGAAGTATAACTTGGCCCAGGCAGGAAGGATTTAGCTAGAATTTTGTGGTGGTTTAACTTCAGGCAGCAGCCAAGCCCCACACAGCTGCTCACTTGCTCCCTCACCAGCAGGACTGGGGAGACAATGGGAAGGGTAAAGCTAAGAAACTTGTGGGTTGAGATAAAGACAGTTTAGTAGGTAAAGCAAAAGCCACACATGCAAGCAAAGCAAAAGAAGGAATTAATTCACTGCTGCCCATGGGCCGGAGGTGTTCAGCACCTCCAGGAGAGCAGGTAATGGTTCCTTGTGAAGGCAAACACCATCACTCCAGATGTCCCTTTTCCTCCTTCTTCCTCCCACTTTATATACTGAGCATGATGTCCTTTGGTCAGTTTGGGTCACCTGTCCCAGCTGTGTCTCCTCCCAATCTCCCATGCATCCCCAACTTCCTTGCCAGTGTGGCAGTACAAAAAACAGCAAAGACCTTGACTCTGTGTGAGCTCTGCTCAATAGTAACAAAAACATCTCTGTATTACCAACCCTGTATTCAGCAAAACTACAAAACACAACCCCATACTAGCCACAGTGAAGAAAATCAACTCTACCCCAGCCAAAACCAGCACAAATCCATGCAGGCAGAGTTGATTCTGGGCTGGTATATAAATCACTTCTCTTGAAAAGAGTGGAGTATTTTTTCATGGACACTACTCTCTGGTGTGGATGTTCTATGTGAGTACTTGATGTAGTTTCTCAGAAAAAAATTCCTGCAGCCAGGTGAACAGCAAACAGCTGTTTTTCATTTTTCTAAAAAACAGAAGCAAGTCACTTTGAACTGAGCTAGCGAGAGCATGTGATCTGACTGGCTTTGCACTTAAAAAAGCAGCAAGAAGACAGAGACTAGCTGCTTGCAAATGTGCAAGATTACACTAGTTTTGTTTTTTTTTTGTTTTGTTTTTTTTTAATAACTCTTGGAAATGTATTTGTAAAAGAAAAGCAATCTCAAAGACATGAAAGTAATGAATTTGAATACAGCAGTTGAGCCCTCACCTAGCAGTTCAGTCACTTTGAATATCCTGATGGTGTTGAGACAGATTGTCTCCAGCACCTGATTCCATGTTGTGCTCAGGTCGCTGTGTCTGATCATTAGTGCTTACACTCTTCAGCTTAAGACAGATATGTCATGGTCAAAAAGGACTTGTGAATCCAAAAGAATGCTGTATGGTTTGTTCCACAGAATGCCTTAGACTTTGTTAAAAGCAGATGAGAATAATTGATAGAATGGGAGTGTGAAAAACTCCTTAGTAAGTTCTTAAAAATAGTCTGTTTATTTTATTCCCATATTGCTGATATTCCAAGTAGTAGCCAGTTAGGAAACAGGTAAGTATGATACTTCTTTGCATGAAGAGGATGGAACTCAATGGTCAATTATTTTTTTTCCCCACCAGAAATCCATTTTATAAAATTATTAGGATTCTCCAGCCAAGTAGAAACAGCAACTGTATTACAGAATAGCATGGAGTGGCTGGAAATCTGTTTTTAGCCTAGGTAGTTAAGATAGCATTTTGAACTTTCAGTCAACTTGGTGGGAAGGAGCTGCTCTTGAAACAGTTTTACCTCCTGAAGGGAAAAGTTCAGAGGGGAGTGTGTTTTCACTAAAATACTCTACTGAGCTGCCTTATTCTGGTCCAAATCAAATGGCTGAGATGTGGGGAAGCTGCAGTTGTACTGCTGGCCATTAGCAAGAGTGTTGCTATGGGAACTAGTGCTAAGAAACTGTATGGAAGGGGAAACGGGGAAGGGGAGGGGGAACTGGAAGGACATTAAAAAAGCTATCCAGTTGTTACAGAACAAGAGACAATCTATATCTGATGCCTGTGAACCTTTTGGTCCAAAATGGTTCATTTAAATAAATTCATGATTTCGAATTAATTCAGAGAATAAAATATTACTGAGAGACTGTTAATTTCTGTGATATTTCAGGCAAAGAACCAAAATGTTGGTGCAGTTTTCATCAGAATTTTAGCTATGCTTGACTAGGAAGTCATTACATCACATTTATCTGTTTGGATGGGGGAGACATTAACAGCCTTATGAATATTCATGTTGTCTGGTTAATTAAGTTAATTGTACTGCAGAAGTGCTTGCACTTCCAAGGACAATTTTTTTTTGTCTACAATTTCTATTTGGTACCTTCATCAGTCATGCTTTACATGACCTGCAGATACTTTGTCCTTACTGTGATGCTTTTACACATTCGATGGGAAGGAGGTTGTAGGAAGTTGTTTGTAATGTCAGGGAAATGGGTCAATATTTTGAACAGAATTATACACTTGGAGGAATAAAATCTTATTTGTTTCTGTTTAAAAAACATGCTGGTGACAGAGATGCTGGAATTGTATTGATGAAACCTTTTAACAGTAAATTGAGTAGCTGGAGCGAGAACTGAAAATGTGACTGTTAGTAATGTATGAGGGTTGCAAGCCATACATGGGCATCAAAGGGTTTTAGTCTTTGAATATGATAATGTTCAGAGGAATCATCTTGTTATTGGTAAATAATATCTTGAGCTTACATAGGGGAGAAAAAAAATGACTTGGGAAGATTAATAATGGCATTAAACCCATTATTATCGAATCAGCACTTCAATCAGAAAAGCTTGTATTACTATTTTTGTATGATAACTTTAAATGTTTTTGTTCTGTTTATCAACTGTTTTGGTTTTGCTTGTTGTTTTGGGTTATTGTTCTGGCATCCTACTTCTACAGGACCTTGTTAATGAGACACATTGTTCAGTCATTATTGGGATCAAAAATGGTGTTAGGCATGTGTTAAGAGGGTTTTACAGAGAATGTGATGGTACTTGCTACTGCAAAACCGTCCTTGTTCTAGATCTTCAGCTTGTGGAAGGGTGGATGGGTACTTATGTTTTGAAACACAGATAGAACCGGTTTTATCTTCTTAGGAGTCATGAAAGGGTGGGATTTTGCCTTGTTTACGTCTGCAAATGTTAATGAGCTCCACAGATTTAAGAGAAGGATGCAATTACTTGTGCCTATCCTGTTTAGGAGGAATGAGATTTAACTCTCATTAAAGTCAGCATGAAGATTGGTACTGACTTCAGCTGTGGTCATTTGTTATCTTGCTGCCATCTGTATTGATAAATTATTCTTAAATGGGGAAATGCAGTTTTAAGACATACCAAGCCTGATCTTTACAAGTATATTCCACCTTGTGCTCTTTTATTAGCTTGATCTTCAGTGACAAGGAAAATATTTTTTTCAAAGTGACAACTTCCCTGTTGTGAATATACAGGAAATAAACATGATTTGCATGTCTTGTAATGATCTGCTGCTTGTGTGTGTGATTTCCTTTGTTTTGGAGAGATACCCATAACAGTTGATAAGAGTTGTATAATTTTGATTAGAGGAAATTTGAGTAATTTTTGAGTTGCATCTTTAGCTACACTGGCAAAGCAGAACTGGTTTGATCTGGAAGTTAAATTTCTTAAGGCATTCAAACATGAAATGGTGTTGGCCATATACTTGTAGTATTCTGAATTGCTTTTTAGGTCAAACATAGTGGGTTTTTGTAGTTTTAAGATATCTGTTTTTCTTAATAGATGTACCTCAGTAACTTCTTTCACACAATAGGAGCCCCAAGATCCTTACTCAGAGCTCCCCTCTCTGATGTTATGGCAGCTTTCCATAAAGTTCTGAATTACTTTCAGTCACTAAGGTGCATTAAGGACTTAACAGGTGCTCTGTGAGATTCCCAGTTATTTTATGATTTTTTATTGAGAGGAGTTATTTTAAAATATCAAAACATATATTCCTGAGTAAGAGTGACACAAATGCCTTTAGAGCTTTTTAATTATGTACTTCACTCTTTGCAAATTTAGTATTTTTTTTCCCTATCGGTAGCATGACATCAAAGATTGCAGAGTTTTGGGATAAACAAAAATTTTTAGTCTGGTACATGATGCTTTTAAAGTGCTTATTTAAATATTGAGTGCCTCTTGTTTGAAATGTGATAGTCTTTCCCTTTCCTCTCTTCTCTCCCCCAGTTTTGAAAGACAAGTTTAAAAGCTTCCATAAAGCTTAAGGCAAATTTAGCTTCCAGAACTGTCTATTGCTGCTGTAGCATATTAAATAATTCAAGCAACAAGAATATAATCTGAAAATCTGTGACCTCATTTCTTCATGGGAATATTAGGTTCTAAATTGTTATTTTAAAATTTTTGTTCTTTTAATTAAACTGTTTTTGAATTATCCCTTAATCAGTGATATGAAGAAGTCAATATATTGCCTGTTTGGTGGCAGGCCCCAGCTCTCTCTTTATTTTTCAAGAGTTGAATTCTATGGCTCTGCATCTTGAAATTCTGTTAAAACTATTCATATTTAGGAAAGACACAACCCTTCATTCTTCAGAATGTTAAAA